GTATTTTTTTAAATACTCCACCTGGTTTGATCATCTCTCCTTTTAGAAATAGTCATTTTGCTGTCAAAGTACTTGTTCAGATTAATACCAAAAGGTTCCATAGACATGTAAACATAAAATTCTGTGTTATAATCATGGTGCTGACGTGTTTAACCTCAACACAACTCGGTAACAATTAAAATATGTATTTACTTACGCTAATCTGGAATACCATCACAAATCATCCTTCCTATTTTTTCCTGAACGGAATTTGTCTTCCTGTAGATTCTCCTGTAATTGTGGACTCCTCTGTTCGTCGGGTTTCCAGTGGTGACCAGAGCGTTGATGCCATTCTTACATGTACATCAGATAGCAGACCTTTAGCCTCAATAACATGGTTCTCAAATGGCACGGAACTCAACAACAGCAACCGCTATCAGATTCGCCACAGTATTTTAAAAGAGGATACCTTGATGTGTAGTATTCTGATTATTTCAAATATTTCAGCAGAGGATGAAGGTAACTATATATGTTTGGCAGAGACAAGGCTCGGGAACGACATCGCAACTATCACCTTGTCGTATTCTGGTAGGTCTTTCACAAGTACAACAATTAAAGTTGCACAGTTTGATAGGTCATTACGTATCCGACTATGCTTCGACAGTAAGTTGCCACTTATTTCACAAATGATACATCGTAAAGGTAATAAGGCTATTTTGTTGGGGGGGGCGACGCTAGGTGTACGGTTATGAATAGGGTTATGTTTACTCAAAGCTTTATCGTTTAGGGTTTAAATTCAGGGTTCATTAATTGTACGAAACTTTAATTATCACAGAACCATCTGTCGTTCGATACCAAACATTGGTAGATCGGATTTCTCTTGGATTGTTAGTAGAAATTATTATCCCTTTAATTAGTACATCAACTTTCGCCATCTATTTACAACAATAAAATCTTCTAGGGAGTCCAGATCCACCTTATTGGTTCATCGTCGATCAAAACCAGACGACATCATCAACTCTCTTCGTTGTTTGGCAGCCCGTATTCGATGGCGGGATGCAGCAATGCTTCACTCTGCATTACTTTATAAATGACACCCGAGTATCTGATGAATGATGTAAAATCGTTCATAATTAGATAGGAGCGTTGTATTGATTGCCAGGTCAGAAAGAATCGGTTGATTATTTTTGCAGCAATAGTGCTGATTTAAAGCGATACGGATCTGATGAATTATGTGCGCTAATGTACTGTTTATTGTACAGCGCCGTACCATGACTAACTTGCCAATACCTAATCTATTCTTGGCAGACCGAGGACTCGATGCGAGAACCGACAGCGCAGCTAGGGAAGCAGCGAGTTACGGAACTATGCTGCTAGAGGTGACCCGAGATGGCGCTAACGGGGATTTGCGGTAGTACTTCTTGTACAGTATGGCTTTAAAGAATAAGTGTAGATGTGGATTTTTTCGAGTTTATATTAATTCATAAAGTACCTAGAGTATATTTTACCCAAAACAATAGATTTTGTTAAAACCTATCAACGTGCATAGCAATGACCCATTAATGAAAGCTGCATTCAATATTATATAAATTAAACATAATTATCATTATACGCCAAACTAGGAGGTCGAATATGTTTGTGTGGGTATGTCATGAAAGGAATTTTTTCCAGGCGAGAAGGGAAATGTACTACTCAAAGGAAATGTACTACTCAAGGGTCAGATAGAGGTAGCCAAGCGTAGGATGCATTATTGCATACATTGGCATTTAAAATGTACAGTATATGGGGTTTTGTTATACATGATTTGGGTCGGCTATTGAATGTAGATAGAAATAGAAATAGCTTGCATACCCAGTAGGTTTGGAATGTTAAGGACCTGGCAAAGAAAGAGGAAAGGGAAGTTGCTGTAGGATAATGGGCATAACCCTTCAAGTCAGTGCTACGGTGCAGACGTTGAATGCACGAGGTAGATTTATTAAGTAGCAGAAACATTTTCTTCAGAGAGACTTTCACGTCGGGCCGAGATTAGCTGTCAAGTCGACAGGGATTTCTACGCAGTCTAGAGACTGGCAAAGCGACCAGGGGAGTCATCGACAGAGATAGAGATGAGCTGCAAAGTCGACGGGGATATCTACGCAGTCTAGAGACTGGCCAAGCGATCAGGACCAGGAGGGACTCACCAGATGGAAGCTGCCCTGTTATAAAGTTATGTTCTATTAAATTGTTTATGTTCTGTTGATTTTTGACGCCACGATTTGTAGGCTGAATATTAAACCTTCATTATACATTGATACAATTGTGTTCTGGTGTGGTTTTCTGATGAGGTAGCAGTGTAAATAATTTTAAAAAGTCACTCACGTGACAGGGTATAACTGACAGGGACAATTTGGTGTCAGTTCCTTCAGCGTTAAATCTCCCACTATGGCTGGTATTTCTGGAACATGGGCCTGTTTAGTGACAAGTATTTATCATTCCATATAAAATCGCTTAATAATTGTGTGTTATATGTCATTGGATCCTTGCCGCTAAAAAAAAAATTATAATAATTAAAATAATAAAAGTATAATTATCTCACGTTGAAAAGTCGTACCAAAAATATATTTTGTTTTATAATGCAAAAAACATGAACATTATGTATTCTGTATTTTGTGAATGGTTTTTGGAATTAGCTTTATGCTTCAACATTGAATGATAAACCAATGCATAAGCCCGCCCTGAACCAAATAGCACACTCTGTCGTTTGAATGTGGACATGATGTTTCACTGACTAATAGATTTTACTTTCGATTTTGATGAGTGAAAGAAGCCGAACGAACTCGTCATCAATATATACATGATATACCACTACTTCCATATGCATTGCATCTCGGATACGTCGGTCGCAGACTGTTTACTTCTGGAAATAGTTGTTGTCCACCTTTTGCTTCTATTTTTATAATTTTAATTTAGCATTTCCCAACAAATTCTTGATGAGAGGATTTTCAAGATTTCAAGATATCATTCCTTTGACTACAAATGGCTTCACACGTTCTGTTCTGGCTAGCTCTCCTCTTCTGCGAGAAAGGTATGTTGAAATCGAATGGCAATGGAATATGTAAAGCACTCGAGTTCCTATTTTAGTCAGAAACTTTAAAATGTATATACAAATAAAGTCCTCACTCGATGACTCATGCCAATAAAATATCTCGTTATATTTGTTTTGTCCTGGATGTAAACGCAGCTACTATATAAATTATGGACGTAGATGACGAGAACACGATTGTTTTACCGTAAATATACATTCAAATGGTCGAAATATTGTTGAATTTAACTACGTAGCATAAAGATTAATTTTAGGTACCATGTGCAAACATGATGAATAGGCCTATGCTAAATATATTACTCATTGCGGATATAGTATCGCAAATAATATCGCTAGTGATATTCGTTTGTCTCGCAATGTATGGTCAACTAGGGATCAAAAGATCACGACGTTTCCTGCGCCGCTGCAACACCTCGCCACGTGATAAAATATATAATTATTATGTGGTATTAAATTCATAACTTTGTGACTGAATTTTTGTTTTCTCTCGCTGATTTTGATCTACATCCTCGACATTTTGGTTTTTCAATTCTTATGCAGGATGCCGAGCTGGACTTACAGTGGTTATGCAAACACCACATGATCTACCCGTCGTTGGAGATGATATCACATTGATGTGTACCTATTCGCCTCTTTCTGATAATAGTGTGATTCAGTGGAGACATGATAACACCATTATAACGAATGCTCAGTGCACAACTGCGAATCCATTTCGAAGTTCTATTCCAACAAAGTTCAAGTTCATGAGAGGTGACCACAGCACATCCCTTACAATAAACTATTTGAATACTGAGGACAATGGAAATTACAGCTGTACTGTATTAACCGCAGTTGGATACATTTCTTCGAGTATGACATTACAAGTATTAAACCCAGGTAATGGTAATGCATAAGTTGATGTCATATTCGGTTGCGTATCCATACTTTCGCTTCGGGAGGAGTTAAACAACCTAGCCTACTGTGATCTATAAAGTCCTGTAATGAAGCCACTTTTAAAGTACCCTGTAATTATGTACGGGAGCACATTGAGGACGGGTAAAGATAACTTATCTTGTAAAGAAAAAACACATATTTTAGAAATGTATCAATTTTTCTCTCGTTTTCGTATTATACAATGGAACACTTGTATTAACGTATAACTACTAATATATATAAAGGTGGCTACGTTTTTTCTCGATCGAAAATATATCAAGGGTGAAATATTGACCCCTGTCCCTCCTTTAAATTCGGTAGTGGCAATGTTGAAGGTTGTAAGAGTAATTTATTTTAATTATAAAATGAATGGCATAGGCATATGTGTCATCATGGTAGATCCACTATTTTTCAACAAACTTCACAAGCAAATGACCCGTCAAGATGAGTATATTTTCGGCGTCATTATTGTGTCGCTTTTATCATATGCGTGTAGCTATTATCCACTCTAACATGTGTAAGATTCGATTATATCAGAACATTAAGAGAATATCCATTCAATTTGAGAGTTTGTATGTTATGTTAATTGTTACAATAGTCAGTTTTGTAAACTCTTGGAAATACCTCATAATTTCTACTTCGATAGCATGAATACGATTGCCCATCGTGTTTACAGAGAATTCAGACAAAATGGAAAATGAAGGACAATGGTTCCTAGATTAAAAATAATAATGATAATAAAGACAGTTTGGCAATGGACAGCACATAATATAAATTGAATTTCAATTTATATTGATATACAAAATACAACATGACAATTGTTGATAATTAAATTGCCTTTTTCGGTAAAAAAAAAATCAATATTTAAGTTTAGATTCCAGCGATTGTTCCTTGGAACTTCGGTGTGTGTTCGTTTCTTATTGTTTTTCTCTCTGCGATGAATTCTCAATTGTTAGCCCCACCTAGTGACTTATTCATCAGTGACGATCGGTCTCCAAATGGATATCCCAACAACCCATACATTACCATGACAGCAGGTGAACCACGTGACATCACATGCACAGTACGAGGGGCACGCCCACCGGCTCTCATTGAGTGGCGCACCGATGCTGAACATATCCATGTCATGGATCAGGGCAATGTTGTTAAAGGTCAAAGCTACATATCTCACAGGGGAGCCACGATAACACCTTCTAAAGATTACCACAACAGAATTATTCGCTGTCTGGCGTCCCATCGGGAACTGCAAAATGTACTCCAAGCAACCATTCTTCTCAATGTTCAAGGTAATTTGTTTAAAGAGAATTGATAAATCACCATACTACTTCGTCCTTAGATTGATACGTCTGCTTGCACCTGATAACATATTCAATTCAATATGCCGAGTATTTCAATCAATGTCTCTAAGCTACTTCCCCCTTGAAATTGTGCTACATCAACTCTGACACGCTTGCCGGCTTTTAATTACACGACAGAATTCAATGTATAATATTTCTAGTCGAGGTTCCTATGGGACTTCTGTTATACACAGAATTTGATACAATTTTGCAACTATATACAGGTATTGTTTATTGCCTCATCTTCGTAATTCTTTCATGAACTTTCTAATTTACATAGATTACCATCATCTTTCATTTCTTAATTCAAGTCCTTCCTGCAGAATTGCAGCTCTCGGCTTCCTCCAACATAAGCAACCTATTGGATACCCCAACTTTAGTCGTCTTTCAAAACGTTCCAGCCTTCATCACCTGCAAGTGTCTGGGGTCTCGTCCAGTTGCCATACTCTTCTGGGAACTTGGAGATACAGTGGTCACGGAAGGCGTCACATCTTCCGTTACCCCAAATAGCATGGATAAGAGTTTATTTGATGCAGAGAGTAGGTTGCGGATCGTACCAAATGTTAGTCACCATTACAGACTGGTGCGGTGTTTGGCACCTGCAGGGCAAAATCAAGTTCATGCAGAAGTGAGATTAATAGTTTATGGTGAGTTAATGAATAATACGATATCTTACCTTATTAAAACATTCCAACCTGGACATATATGTATACCCTATACAACAATATCGCTTTTTGTATTGTATTATTGTATTATTTATTCGGCACTTTCAAGAAATATAACAATTTAACAATATAAACATGGTAAATACAAAATTGGAATGACAAAAAATGTGCAAATACAAATTTTTGTAGCAATATTCTGAGTGCAAAAGATGGCGGCCAGGGAAGAAGAGAGCAAACTTAATTACTGTAACCGTGAAGGTCCCTCCGCCCAACCAACTGATGCACTCAGAAGACTGGTAAAAATATAGCATAAGGACAAATAAGACAGTAACAAATCAAGGATAAACAATCAAAATATAAAGAAAGGCGAGGCACGAGCATATGTAACGCCAACCTAGAAATTATAGATAACATATTACAAATTTGCAATTTCAATAACATATTACAAATGTACAATTTCAATAACAATATCAAGAATATTTCATTCGTCGTGCCGACACACGAAATTTTCTAAACTACTGCGGAACACCATTGTATACCACTCATGGCAATTCAATATCATATAGTTATTAAATGGCATGGTAATAGCTACGAAGGAGTTCCTGTTCGTCTACTTGTATAGTGAGTGGGCAAATATACCAACACATAATTAAAATATAATTTTAGTGACAAATTAAATGCAAATTTAGTTATACATATAATGTTTCTTCCAGTAGTAAATTCTCATTCAACAATTCGATCTTAAAGGACCACCAGATACTCCGCAAATGAGTGGTACCGGTGATCTGCAAGATGGGATGTCCGCATCGGTCACATGCATTGTCAACAACGGATATCCAGCGCCTATATTTCAGTGGAACCTAGGAACGGCCGATCTAACCAATAAGTCAGCAACAGAAAATGAACTGAATGAATATAATAGGATGTATACAAGGAGTGTGCTCACGTTCACACCAAAGAAGAGCGACCACGGCCAATACCTTGCCTGTGAGGTCTTTCAGCCTGAAGCTCAGCCTACGTGGTTTAGGAGCGTGAGGAAAACGATCGAGATTTCATGTAAGTGAGGTATTCATAATCATTCATATCATACAAATCTTACATCTAAAACTACGAAGAATTTAAGTAGGCATTCTCTTTTACTTTAGGTGCTTGTACAAGAAGCAATAAGCAAAGTAATTCCTTGCGGTGGCATATTTTGTTTTTGGTGTTCATCATAATGTAATTACATTATCCACGTGATGGATTCTAAGATTACAACATTAAGATAAGTTGTATATATCCAAGAAAGACCCTGACAACAATCATATTGTAATAGCTTTTATTCTTGGCAGAGGTGTTTTACCAGTTCCTGGAAGGAGGAATGCCAATTATTTCATGTAAACTTATTTTAACCATGTGTCTCGACGGCTCATTTAGAAGTAGTTCCTAAAGCTACCTAAACTACGGTAAAACAGCAGGTTTTTCTTGCCTTGTGCACTTCTCATCCAAGTAAACTATATCCTATTGACTCACACACTTTAGTGCACCGCGCTAGCAGAAAGCATCAATGTCAAGGCATTACATTTTCTTTAGCTTCGCTCCCAGGCCCATTGCCACACTCTGTCTCACTACGTACATTGTATTCCCTCAATATTTAGATCCTCCCGTCATTGTCGACTTGTCAGCTCGTCGAAGTTCGGATGGTGAAGGGAGAATGTATGCACTACTTACATGCCAGGTAGATGCTAGACCTCCAGCCTGTATCTTCGAGTGGTTCTTTAATGGATCAAAGCTGGAAAATAACACCAAAATAGCGGTCCATCAATGGGACTTCCAAGAAACTGAAATGGTTACAAGTACGCTGATGATCGGTAATCCAAAGGTGATCAATGAAGGAAATTATAAATGCCTGACCAGGACATCAATGGGTAACGACAGTGCTGCTATCTACTTTACCTTCCCGAGTGAGTAGCCAAAAAGCCTTACAGAAAAGTTGCATTATTTCCACAGTACTTAATATGGGGTTGTATCATTTCCTACAATTTGGCTTAAGGACATTCAATGTTTGCTACATATTTACATAATGGTATTGATAAACTACGGGCTGGTCCTTGTGGAGACTTGTGGATATGATTTGATTCTGTTCTTGTACAGGTTTGTGACGATAAAATGACAATGAGCGATAAACCGTGCCCGTACCTCTCCCACATTTCTCTGAAATATTACAGCAAGACCTAATACTCCTACTCGGTTCATCGTATACCTAAATCAGACGACATCTTTTACTCTCTTCGTTGCTTGGCAACCAGGATGTGATGGTAGGCTTCTTCATACGTATCTATCTTTGCCCATAAAAGCGGCAATAAAAGTGCAAGCAAGATTGAAGGTAAACCTTACAACTGAATATAAAAGTACTAGCGCCGTCTAGCGTTATGACGGCAACAAGGAATACACCGTTCGTTAATATGTGGCATAGTTACAGTCTAGATTCCCTTCAAAGACATCAAAGGCAATCGACCTTATTATTCTTTTATGACGAGTCGCACTAAGTACCAATTACAGATAAATGCAATTACTAGACACATATTTTCACTTTCAGGAGGCAGCAAAAGTAACGTTCTGGCGCTACGTGTAACTGCGCATCGATCACTCCTGTTTACCTTCTAAGGAAAGACGTCGAAATCATTTCACGAGATTTACACCAAGAATGGGGTATAATATTCAGAGAGGAATTTTGCTCGCCATCCTCGCGTGTTTTAACGGTATGTTATGTGATTTAACATGTAATCCATGCTATCAATTCTCGCTACCCTAAATAGGTACGAAAATCTCGAAATTCGCGAGACGAGGTAATTTTCACTCTCTCGGGTCGTCACTACAACTTCTGGTATAGAGTCCCATCCCGCTGGCGCTAGCGCCTGTGTTCGCTGTGCAGAGTTTTCACGCACGCTAAAATCGATGCCAATCAGTGTAATTTGTACAGATTATAATATGCAATGGAAAGCTTCGGGCAGAATTAGTGACTTTAGCACAAAAGGCCGTTAAACTCTACCGTGAAAGAGAGGGTTGTGATCACGAACGCCTGCACAGGAAGCTGTAATGTCGAAAAGCTATCCCATAATGCAATGCGCGTTTTCAGGATTTTCAAAACAAACAAAGTAATCATAATTTCTGTAAAACGTAACATTTTTCAAGTGTTACAAATAGATCACGTTGAATAGTATATTAGTGCACAACAAGCGTATACAGGGCGCTTGAAACATTTTGTGGCAAGCTCTCAAATGAACCTCAATTCTTGATACAACAGCGGATAGAACTATATCATTCACACACACATATTGAGGTAACGTAGTGCCCTTAATTTATCTTGTGGGCATGTTATGCAATGTTACTAGCTCTTCTGAGAAAAGATATCATAAATCAATATTTAGTGTTTAATGTTATGAATAATGTAATAATTAATAAATAAATCTCCTTTTGAATAGACGCTTTGTATTTCCTGCTGTATATTGTTCCTCATAATGATTGAAATACATTTAAGCAGAGGAAGTAACTACATGTATTTTCTAATGTATGGTTACTGTAATTATTTATTTAGTGTTTAGAAATGAATTATTTTGCTTCTTGTTCTTAAAAGATGTGTTGAATATATGTACATGACATTTTCAATCTACAATGGGTCAAATGCGATTTCACCAAGAAAGTGTGATTTAGAATGACTTCATTGGGAAGTTTCTCGAAAAATGGAGAAGCAAAAGGTTAACGCCTATTTTGCAATCTTTCTAAAAATTTAAAAAATGGTACATTTTAGGAAAACGACCATAAATCTGTATTCTGAACTGATACAATTGTGAAATTCACACCCTAAATTGGGGATACTACTACTAAATTACCTATTAAAGTTTAATTCAAGGATGATTAAATGCTTTTAAAGGTAATCATCGTTGGTACTTGGTTTGATGCACTGCCAACATGGCACTTCACTTTTCCCCTATTTGTTTGGTCTTCATGAATATGCAACAATTATGATGAAACTTGCAGGTTGCCGAGGGGAATTACAAGCGTCAATCGCTGCTAAGGACCTCCCCGTCACTGGGGAGGATATTCAACTTTCCTGCCTATATTCGTTCCTGTCCAGCAGCTTCCTTTTGAAATGGAAAACAGACGATTTCGAAACTCTGGCCTCTCTTGACTGCTTTGACAATATGCCGGATTGTGAGCCAAGTAATTCAAATTCCTCTAAGTTCATACTGACGACAGATTCTCGAAGTTTCAATCTGACAATCAAAGACCTGACAATGGATGATAGTGGAATATATGAGTGCAAAGTCATTGGCCTCGCAGGTTTGGATGATGCTGCAGTCGAGCTTGACGTCTTGTCGAGAAGTAAGAACTCTTCCTAAAACTTTTGCTGTTAAAATATCATTTTAAAAGTCTTCCAATGATTAAAGAAAAGCTAGAATATTAAGGGCTTGATTCGTTCCATCGGATCTTCGCGTCTTCTGATTACACCAAGTTTCGTGAATAATGAAGCCCTAATTCCCGAAGGATCGGCGTAACGTTTGTGCAATACAACACTCCTGTCGCCAAAGTGTTGAGTCCCGTCTAGCGAAAACTTTCTACAAACACAACATACAGCACATATACGGGAAACTTGCGATAAGGCCAGCGATTAACGTCTTTACTTATGTCGCTGCTGTTGTAATCTATTTTTGTTCAGCAACAACTCAGGATTTTGCCACCCATATTAATTATATATTCTGATGATAATATACAAGTGCAAATATTGGCATTATAACAAGGACCTTCTTTAAAAATACGTATCTTATTTGCATTCGAGTTACTCTACATTTCGTGTATGGTGGTATATATTCAAGAGAGATCGTGTAACCCGGCAACCCGTTCCGACACGAAGCCGCGATGGAACGAAGTAAGCCCATATAAATTGCACACATAAAAATAGTAACTAAATATTTTCGAAAATGTGTTTATAACAATTCACTTTTAGATTAGCGTAAAGAATGTTTCTGTACACAGGCACGTTCTATGAAATTCGGGATTTTGACTTTTCAAAATGAAATGATGCTTCTTTGTCACAAACAATTATCAGCTTAAGCTTTACACCTTTTGCTCCTATATAATTTACGTCTTAAATTTGCTTGTCTCATGTATCTTGTCATATAGCCCCACCAAATGTGATATCCATCAGTGACGGAATCTCTCAAGATGAATACACTAGCAGTCCAACCATAACAATGACAGCAGATATGCCGTATAACATCTTGTGCACAGCTATGGGCGCAAGACCCCCGGTACTACTGGAATGTGTCGTCACCTACAGATGTGCATGTGTTGATAAGGAATCAGTCAAATAATGTGCAAGGCGATAGTTATGTTTCCCGGCGAGTAGTCACTGTTATACCAACCAAAGACGACCACGGTCAGGTATTGACTTGCTTAGTGCCTCACCACAGTGCTGGCCCCTAGACTCGTCTAGATGTCCAAGGTAAGTTTCAAGGAGATAAAACCATGAATAGCAGTGGCGATGGGAAAGTTATAATGTATGTATGCATAAACATATAGTTTACACTGTCAAAGGGGTCTAAAAGGCGTTTCCAATGTTTGATACATGTTGTTCGTTGACTACATTACGAACGGCCTTTGATCAAAACTTTTCTGTCAGGCAACGACGATGTGTATGCTTGGTGTATACCGATAATCACCTTACGCGACAATATACATGTACAGTATTATAACTAGTTGATGTTGTTTTTGTAATTTCGTATAAAAATATACCTCACATAGTCTGAAGTAAACGTCATAGGAATCGTAAGTAAAATCATGAAGTAAATCAATCCTAAACTGTTTTTCCCCCTATATTTTCGTAATGAAATAGTGCCACCCGCCAATCTGCAGATTCAAGCGGTAGGACACACGATTGGGAATGAGACTGGAACTGCACGTCTTACTATCTTTGAAAACACACTTGTAAATATCATCTGCAGAAGTTTGGGGTCCCGTTCTGTGTCCTCTGTAAGCTGGACAATTGGCACCCGGAGTCTCACTCAGGAAACGTTCTCAGCAAGGCCAAACAGCAATGACGAAACGTTATTTGATTCAGAGAGTGGTATAGAATAACGTCCCGATAGGATGGACCACTACAAATTTCTTCGATGTACAGCAGCAGCTGGGAATCACAAATCCGAGGCAGAAATGATGTTTGTGGTAGATGGTGGGTATAAAAAGTATGCAAATATTCGAGTAAATTATAATTCTTTACCTTTATCAAAATTATCTTAAAGTGCTAACGTCGAAACTATAATCTTCGGTTTGACTTTGGACAAATCTACTTCGGTAAACCCATTTCATTGTTTGTATTTTCCTACGACATTTACATTTTTGACAAGTTAATTCAATTGATTATCTGAACATTTCAACAATCTAAACATGTTTACTTTGAATAAAAACATACCAAACGTTGTAATTTTGTATGAGTACAAATTTAAATAAATGACTCATATTGGATTGTGTTTTATTTGTCTGTATGTATTATGTTTGGTGTTTTGTTGGTTATTTTGAGCTTCTTAAATCCCGCGGTTTAAATGAATTATTTCTAGATACATATCAATCATTGGATATATACACATATCTGAAAATAATAGTTGGATTGTTTTTAGTAAAACTTTGGGGTTGATACTCCCGATTTGACAGCTGTCATGTCTCTTCCCTTATTAATGTAATGCTTTTTTTCTTTCTTTTTTCTTCATTTGTATGCTGTATTTCAAGGACCTCCGGATACCCCTAGAATTCGCGGCATCGACGATTTAAAATCTGGGAGTCAGAACACGCTAACCTGTACATCAGACAACGGATATCCGACACCGTTGGTCCATTGGTACCTCGGTTCAAAAAATGTTACTCAGAACTCGTCAGTTAAGACTGAATTGACTGACGAACATCGCGTATTCACAC